TCTGTACGTACCATTTCCACTCTTACTAGTTGTCCATTACTAGGGCCCTCACACTGGCATTGCCTGCCCTTGCTGCTTGCCTGAGGATGTGACAAGAAGTGTGTTCATTTCTTATGCTAGTCAGAGAAAAACAAGACAAATTCTGTGTGATCAGGAGTAAAACTCAATCTTAGGAACCTGCAGACTCTAATCATCCCACCGACACCTTGAATATCTATCCCACAGTAATTCAAACACAGTTCATAATATAATGCCAGTAGTAAATTCATTCCCTTAATCTGTCATACGAATTTTACTGCCACAGAGTTCAATTACCATTTCTTAACTTGTGTCACCGCCGCCATCAACTTTTCCTCACTCTCGCCAATTAATTTTACTTTGCTTAGAGGAAGAAATAAAATAAAGTTTGACACATACTCGGAGAGAGATGTTTCCTCTAATTATGGGTCTCAGTACCAAATACCCAATAGAGCGGTAAACTGCATAGGTTATACTAGGATCTATGCCCCCTGACTCTATAGCTGGGGAGAAAATATGAAATGGCTCATTAGAAAAGTTCATTTTTGTTTCCTAACTAGAAGTTTAGCATTGAAAAAAGCAAAAAAGAGCTGAACAAACTGAAACTTGTCAATGAAACTGCCTCAGTGGCCAGTTAGGACACTGTAATTAGACAAGGGAATGTTAAGTCAGGAGAATTCAAGCCTGTAACAAAATTAACCTAAATCATAGATGGGCACAGAAGAGGTAACAGATAAAGGTAATGATAGGCATTTTGTGATGTCCATACATAACAAGTCCACGTTAAAAATAATTTGTCTCCCACCCACTCACTTCACGTTTGCCAAGAATTCTGCTGCTTTAATAGTTTTGGGTTTACACCCTCTGCAAGCTCTGAGTGGGATCTTACACAGAGTCAATGACTTAGATCCACTCCATCAGGTCTAATGATCAGCTATTCAGGTACTGTATGTAAATAGTAAAAAAAATTACTATTAGAAAAATGGTGTGTGTGGCACAATTGAGCAGGCTGTTTACATTGTTTTAAATCTTTAGTCGTTTTCTAATATTTCTTATTGACTTCAAAGGTAAAATCTTCCCAACATAGTTTCTGGCTCTATTCTATTAAAAAGTTCACTACTCCTGCCTTGCTACAACAGTGGTGTTCCCACTAAATGTGTTGCATTTTACATAAGACAAACAAATGCAATAGAGAAAGTAGGAAACCCTCATGACTGCTGCGACCAGTAAGAAGATCTGAGAACTTAAGCTCAGAGATTTCCCCACTGATGTCACTGAAAGAAGCAACAAACTGCAGGATGGTTGAACTCTCCAGCATCCAACTGAAATATCAGATTTGGGGTGGATGGTCCCCTTGACATCAATCATTTACACTATTGTGCTTTGTATATCTATTACTGAAGTAAAATAAAGAACATTCCTTTGGAATACTAAAACACTTAAACTGTCAGCCAAGTAAGGTACGAGATGTGCATGAGTTGACAGACGAGTTAAATGCTTGTCAGTGTAGGAAGACTCCTGTGGTGCTAACTTATTTGTACTACTTTAGTACTACAATAAATGTATGCATAATACAAAGATTGCTTTTGAAAATCTGGCAGTAAAAAGAACAGAAGCTCTAATAGTATCTGTAGATATCAGTCTTCTCACAATGAATTAATATAGCAGCATAGGATATATAATAAGGGTAACATGTGCTTTGTCCTTCCCAGTAGCACATACTTACCTTCTATTCCCTCCCTGGCTGCTCCTTCTAGCTACCATAATCAATAAAAAGAAGCCCTGTGTAAGTACTTTAGTCTTAGCATGCATTGTGCTGAGGACCCTCTACCCACCCACATGAGACAGTGCTGGGCCAATCATTAAACAGCACTGTCACGTAAGTGGAAAGGGAGTGAGTTGCATGCTAGTCCATACCTGGATGTACTTTTTTTTTAGCTTTGGATAGTGTAAGTGTGTGTGTCGGGGCGGGGGATTTTGTTAGGGAGGATTAGAACCCTTGTCTTGTTTTACCACTCCGTGTAGCTTTAGGCCATTTAGTGTCAAGGGTTAGGATGTTGGGAATGGCTACGTAAAGAATAAAAATTCTCTTCAAAATGGAATTTCATGTGTGTATTGATGAAGGTTTGAATCGCCCACTGCCTCTTACTTATTTTGGATAATCCAAAAGTAAGACATGCAAATCTCCTACAAGGTGAAAATTAAAATGCAGCTTAAATTCCAGATTATTTCTTTATTCTTTATTCCATAGTTATTCTACATTAAAAATACTGTTTGAAGGAACATTACTCTAACATTGGGCTAAGTAATGCCAGCAGCAGGTCAACAGAACAAGAGAAATCATTCTACTGAAGGCTCCAAAACATAGGAAACAAACCCTATAGGAGTTTTAACTTGACAACCGTGCAAAAGTAAACTATATTTTTTTTACTGCAGTTGGAATTTAATAAGCTTATCAGAAAACATGTTTTAAATAACCTGAGCCAACATTAAGAGGCTGTATTTGAAAATCCTGCACCTTCAGTTTCATGCTTCCCTTTGTATTTACTGCATTTGCTATGTCCCCTGATTCTGTGCATCAAATTGTTATGAATCACTATAAATTGGTTTCTCAAGGTCTAATATCTTATAAAGTTGAAGCAAGAGCAACTTAATCATAAAAAATGTATCCAGTTTTGACAAAAGGCCACAATACCTTTATGTGAAAAATAGATAGTAACGTATTATCCCCCTGGAGACATAGCAAAAGTTCACAGACCACACAATGTTCTACTCACACATATTGACATGATGGAGATTTGTACACAGAAGTAAACAAAGAATGACTTTTCATGAACTTTTGCTTTGTCCTGACTTTTGACAAACAAAGATTCAAACAAACCTACCCAGGTAGAATTAAAGTGACACTAAACTCAGGAGTTAAATCTTAAAATGAATTGCAGTAACTTAACTATTAACATAAATGTATCTTATTTGTGTCCCACTCGGCTGTAGATCCTCAAATCCTCTCTGAATTGGTGCTGGCAACGTCCTTTCTTCTTAGAGGGGCTACTTTTGTTCCCCATGGTCCCTGGGTGTGCTGTAAAGTAGCCACCACTCCAAGATCCTTCCCATGATGGAGTACAATCATACAATACAAGTTTCTTAATTTGTATTGAAGTTATAGTCTATCACAGGAGTGAGCTTGGAGCGGTGTCTACTTTACAACACAGAAGGGGATCATGGGGAACAACAGTATCCACCCTCCAGAAGTTTAGTGTAATTTTAAAGAAAAGTCCATCTAATCTAAATTCACCTCAATCTCACCCATAACCCTTCAGACCCTATGAACCAATAGGAGCTATCCATTCTATGGACTCATGTGTCAATCATCACGTTGCACTGGTGGAGCAAAAAAAAAAAAACCCTGAAAAAGTCTGGTACTTATGCCTGGGCTGATGTAAAGTGAAACTGTGGTTTGTAATGCACAAGTTATGGATAACTCTAGGGGTCTGGTTTGGGAGATCAATACATTTGCATATTAATAGACCTTTTACCTTTAAAAATAAAAATTGGTCACTTTTCAAAATCTACACAGAGCTACAATTAGCAACTGCTCCATAAAAATGGTTTGGAATAATCTAGATATCTTATTTGATGAGACAGATCTGGGTGATTATAATCCTATAAAATATATACAGTTACAGCATGATACACCCTTTTAACCCCTTCATGACTGAGGCCTTTTTTTAATTTTTTGCACCCATGTTATATTCCACATTTTAGGCCTGAAAATTACTTTAACCCCCCACACATTATATATTTTCTGAATGCCAAGACCCTATACAATATAATGGTGGTAGTTGCAAATTTTTATGTTGCGCAATATTAGCGCAACTCCTTATTAAACCCCAAAATTTAGTGATAAATTTAATTAAATGCCACAAAACACAACAAAATACCAATTTTTTTAATGAAATATAAAATATGAGATTACAACAAGTAAAACGATACCCAACATGCCAAGTTTACAAATTGCGTGCGTCCGTGAAACGGCGAAAAACTGCAGTACCCCAAAAAGTCCACAGAAGACACTTTAAAAGCCCCCACAGGTTATCAATTTAGAGATACCCCAAAATACTGGCCCTAGAATTATTGCTCTCACTCCGGCGTGCGCGGCGATACCCAACATGTGTAGCGCGTTCGCCGTTTTCATACGTAGGCGCACCCGACGTGTTTACGCGGCGACGCGTGTGCTCGCGGGGGACTTTTAAAATGTTTTTATTATTAGATTTATTTGATTTGATTTTAATTTTAAAAACTGTTTTTTTTTTTAACTTTAGCAGATGGTGGTGACAGGTACTCTTTAAGGTGATGCTGGGGGTCCAAAAGACCCTCAGTGTCACCTTTACACTGGAAATAAGCTATTGAAGTGCAGATCGCACATCAATAGCTTATAGCTGGGCTGCAGGAGCCCAGAACTGACAGCCCAGGGACCGGAAGTGATGCAATCTGCATCGCTCCCGGTCCCATAGAACGGGGAGGGGATCGATGAACGGAAGTTCGTCGACCTCCTCCCCAGCTCCCCGCGGACACCAAGGACGCCGGTCCCGGGCCCGTAGGAGGGGCAACGGAGCCCGGAAAGCACGGCGGCGGTGTCCGGCGGGGGGGGGCGGCCCCTTCTTCGGGACACAGAAGAATCGATCTGGCGACAGGTAAGTCGCCAGAATCGCTTCTGTTGTAAAGCCGACAGTCGGCTCTACAAGTTTAAACAGAATCCCGGCGGCAAAAGTCTCCGGGAGTCTGTTTAAACCGCCCCGATGCTGGCGACGTACACTGTACGTCGTCAGTCACGAAGGGGTTAATGTTCTCTAGACAGACTGGAAACATCCCAATGATCATTAATACCTTTATGATGTCAGGTAATTACAATTTTTTTGAATGAAGAGCCACAAAAACAAAAACAAAAACACAGAAAGATTTAAGAGTTTGTTATTACTTACAGATACAACAGCAGCCAGAATTTCTATGCCACCTGTGGAGAGGGTAATATATGGAATGGTACGACGCTCAATACCTGATGCCTCAAATATGCTGTTGGTGTAGAACCATATCTAGAATAAAACAGAGAAAGTAGGTGAAAAGAAACAAGTTAGAAACATGGAAAGTTTAACAAATTGCATTTTATTAGATTATAAAAATTTACATATAGTTAGGGACCTTTATTTGTCACCATTTACAATCCTTACAACAATAAATTTGTATTAAAACCCAAGTAAAGTAAGATTGTCTTGAAATTAGACTGTGCAGTTCAATAGGCACAAGAGTCGGACCCTGTTACTATTTAAAGGAGAACTATGGGATGAGTGAAATACACTCATCCCCATAATTCGAGCTGACGGGTGACACTGCAGCTGTCACCCGTCGGCTTTACTGATCAAGAACTAAGCAAACACATACTGCTGATCGCTCAGTTTCCAATCTCCTCCCTGCAGGGTAGCAGTGACTGTCAGTCAACACTCCCCGCAGGGATTCCTCCCTTACCTCTCTGTTCCTCCAGCACTGACTGGAGGAACAGACAGGGGAGGGGGCAGGCACAGCTGGCTCTGCGTCTAGAGAGGCAGAGCCAGCTGTCAATCCATCCCGGCTGCAGCACACCTCTGTGCTGTCAGCATATAGAAGGCAATGTTTTAGAGAGAATGTTGCCGGGCAGCACAGCGTCATGCATTTCCATCATGTGGGAAGGCGCCAGCACCATAAAAACCATAGACTCAGTATACCCAGGCTGCCTGCACCATGCAAAGGTAAGACGTTGTGTGGCATAGCCTTCTAGCCTGAATAACGTGGGCCCTACTTCTGTATCCTATCCACCAGGGCCTGCGCTGCCACAGGGTAGCTTAGCAACTAAAGGACATACAGTCACACTATCCCCATTATTAATTTATTTTTCCATACCTCTAAATGTCCTGGTGCGTAACTTTCAAATGCTGAGCTCTCACATTACCTCAGCACCTGCAGTAACGAGATTACAAAAATCCTCCATCCTGGTATTTTTTTTATGCTTTGGTCATTAAAGCATTTAAAATGAGCCTAAACAATAATAAAAGTGGATGTGGGTGCATTTGTAATAGAGGGATTAAATACTCCCATGCATTTAATTGGTATATTCCCTCCTGTGGGTCAACAAAAATGTTAGGGAAAAAAAGAATATAGTACTTTGTGAATGTCCGTGTGTTTACAGTTGTTGTGGCTAGATAAAAAAAAGTAGTTTTTTCACATTTAATCATAGACTTAATCTTGAATAGTCCAAAGCATTCTGAATGATAGAGCCTATGTCTGTAAATACACTGAGAAAGCAACTGGTAAATGAGCACTCCAGAGCTCCTTAATTACCGTCACATGATTGATGAAGATTGTGGCTTTATGCCACTTAACAGGCCGTGTGAGTCCTTTATCCCAATCCTATTACAACCTAATACAAGTACTTGCCATTTCCACAAAAGCACAGTTACAACTACACAATGACCTCAGATCCTTTCAAAGAGAGCATGTGGGCACATTGGTATTTACTTTGTACTCATCGTGATCTTACTTACAGCATTGAGGCCGCACAGCTGATATGAGGCCATGGTGATAATAACGGTTATAATCTGCCATCTAACAGAACGTGTCTTGAAAAGTTCGATGACAGAGACCGTGCGGATGTTCCTTTGTATCCGTGTTTCTGCCAACACATCTTCTATATCTTTGGAAACATCCTTTCTTCCACGGAATGTGCGGAAAGCTAAACAAATAAAAGTAGTGTTCAATTTTCATTGCAATATTCATCTCAAGTAACCAACATCATCCCAATTCCAGCTTTACCGCACTGATCCAGGGTGGCGTTAAGTAATAAAGAAGCAAGAAATTGAAAGCGTCATGTGATTTTTCATTATTTGCCCTTTTGATAGGGTCTCTTATAGACTCCCTATATGTTTGGTTGGTGTGTTGTTCCAGTCAACAGGTACCGTGAATGATGCACAGGAAATTTGAGTGTTATAATTCTGGATTCAAAAATAAAATACCGAAAATCTTTACTAAATGAGACGTAATGCTCTGATCTTACTTGTCATTATACTGTATTTGAATTGTCACTTAGAAGACACCATTACCATCTTGGATCCCTAAGGTTGGATAGTTTCTTGTCTCTAGCTAAGCGCTTGTGATCAAAAGTTGTCCATCAGTATCCTCCCATATGTCTCTGTGCATATACGGTAGTTAGCAACTATCTACTAAAATTCAGTAGCATTATGCACTTCCAGTAACAAAACAGTTAAGCACAATTTATCCAACATTATTGTTTTACATGCTATTTATTCATGATACATTTGCTTTTAGCATTGGAACATGGTGGTTTTCCATTTACAGTGATGCCCTTAACAATAAAGCCTACCTCCAATTAACCCTACCTGCAACCTCAACCGAGTGTAAACTTAACCCCTTGCTTGCTGAAGTCCAATTCTTCCCAGGCTAAAAGAGTACTGAATGAACTAAAATCTAATGTTTATTCATGTTTAGTTTGGCTTACAACTACCATTTGCCATCATATTGCTGCTGTTAGCCAATCAAATGCATTTTTTAAGATGCATTTAAGATGCAGGAGAGAGAGAGAGGAGAGAGAGGAGAGAGAGGAGAGAGAGGAGAGAGGGAGAGAGAGAGAGAGAGACCCAGCAACATAAAAGAACCTAAAGAACATTCAAATATCCAGGCAAAGACACCGGAAAAAAAGTTGACTACAAAGCTTTGGCCTACTTTTCTCATGGCCCCTGTGGAATTAAGCAGCAACTACAGTACACTTTAATGAAACATCTATTTCAGAGTCACTGCAGTACAGGTCTGGCCTCTGTGGAACAATTCTGTACTGAGAAGGGTGACTGTAACAACAGTTGTGGATCTTTTGAAGAAGCAGAATAGCCAAGCAGGGGTCTCCAGATTTTTTAGTATTAGAGCAACATGGTATAGTTTACAAATATTAGCGGGCCACAAAATATCTTCTGAAGAATCTTTTGAAGAAGCAGAATAGCCAAGCAGGGGTCTCCAGATTTTTTAATATTAGAGCAACATGGTATAGTTTACAAATATTAGCGGGCCGCAAAAAAAAAAAAAAAACAGTTTTAGAAATGAATGAGTAAAATGCCAATTAATGAATAAGCCCCCTTACATCTAGGTGTGCCTATCAGAGACCCCCTTTTATTTAGGTTTGCCCATCAGAGGAGTCACCACTTATGTCCAGGAGTGCTCAGCAGAGTTCCCCCTTACATTCACGTGTGCCCATCAAAGTCCTCCATTACATGCAGGAGTGTCCAGCAGAGTCCCTCCTTACACCCATTTGTGCTCAGCAGAGTCCGCCTTAGACCCATGTGTGATCACCAGAGTCTCTCCTTACATTCATGTGTGCCCAGCAGAGTCCCCTCTTACCAGCAGCAGAGCAGGAACTGGGAAGCGAATCGGGTAAGTCCAGTCCTCCTGTAAATGCCGGTGGTGGGGCAATCACATCCTTGGTTGCTAAGATGCCGGCAGTCCTAGCAACAATCACGTCAGAGGGAGAACAGGTTCTGCACTGGAGACTAGGGGAGGATCATGACTGGCTGGCCGCAGTAAATGTGCTGGTCTTTGCATTAGGATACACAGACCGGCGCATCCACTAGCAGCCAGCTGAGGTTGCTGGATAAAATCTTGTAGCAGACTGGATGTGGCCCATGAGCCATCATTTGGCCACTCCTGACCTAAAAGAATGAATCAAAACAATAAAACTTTTATATATGAAATATAGTGGTAAAATCGGTACCATTTACCAGCATATG